CCACAGCCTGCAGAAGAGCAAATGCAGGAAAAGAAGTATTTAATGAACGGTCTGGCTTTTCCTAAGTTTGAAAATCAAGTTTTTAATATTTTCGGAATAGTTTTAGCACTGCATTTAAGGGTGTTAATGTCACAAAGTCTGGTTCTTCATTTATTCAAAGAGAAGAAATTAAATTGAGGAAGTCCATTTGATTGAAGATATTAAAGTTACTGGCAGCAGATTCTTCTACTCATGTTATACTTTATGAAACTGTCCACTAGAAAAGATAAAAGCATAGAGAAAAGTCAATTTTATTTTAAGTTATGTAACAATATTCCAGTAAGCAAACAGGTAAAAAGAAAAATATGCGGTATAGAAATGAAAAATTATTTTTGTGAGTAGCAGCTATTAAAATTTTACATTGACGTCAAAAGTCTGAAATAAGATGATGGCTTAAAAATATAAAGAAGTAAGACAGAATATCTGGACAGATCGATGGGGAGCTTTAGGAGAGTTCTCTCCCATTTCTTGACTGTAGTTTTCCAGAATAAATTTAGAATCTACTGGGAATGTAACATCCTGGGATAGGGAGGGACTGCCCAGGACAGCCTGGGCTCTTTTCAGTGTCTCCCTAGAAATAGGATGCTCTTTTGAGTGTCCCCCTCAAAGCTTTAGCTCAGCGATTCATATGCCCCTTCCCATTCCCCACCCCCTAAACTCCCCGTAATAAAACCCAGGGCAGGCTGTTTTCTAGGGGACTTCACTTGCAGTGCGAGTTGGACATGCGCAGCTGAGGCCCCATCGACTGCAGGCACCTTTCTTGAGCCTTGGGCCTCTCAAAAGACTCTAGGCTTCTGTCGTCCCTTGCTGCCTCTCCGTAAGTACTAAACCACTTCATATAACTTGCTGCACGCATGGGTGTTCTGTCCACCAGACTTCATGTAACTTGCTATATGCATGGGTGTTGCATGCATGGGTATTCTGTCCAGTGGATTCATGGGTGTTCTGTCACTGCACAATGAACCTGCTTCACTGTAGCTAGATCCCAAGTACCTAATAATGAGTAAAGGAAAGCACCATAAAACAAAAACAACAATAAAACCACAAAATAAAAATGAAGGAATTCTTGTTTGATCCAAGCTGCCAAGAAACAGTAGAAATTATTAAATAATGGCTTGATAATGTCTTTTCATTGCTTGAGTTGAGAAAATATTACATTTGTTGCTTTGTTTAAGTCTATTAAATCTGTGATAACAGGTTTCAAAACACCTGTTGGGATAAGAATGGAGATATTTAAGTCTCCTAAGCAATGTTTTCCAAATACATCCAAGGAATATGTGTATTATTGGGTGTTACATATTTTTTTAAAATTTGCATTTAAGTAAATTTTGAAAAATAAGGATTAATCCAAGTAAACTTGCTTTTCTTTATT